TCCCCCCTCTCTCCCTCCCTCCCTCCCTCCCTCCCTCCCTCCCTTACTTCCTTCCTCCTGCCTTGTAACTAAGTTGATTTTAATTTTAGCTTTTATTTGTACGGCACATTTTTAATGGCTTTCCTGATGACATTTTGACATGTCTGTAGTCTGTCTGTTTTAGTAGACTGACAGCTCCGTTTTTCCTTTCCCTCTCCGAGGCCATTCTGGCCACCACCAGCCAAGGGCCGGACTCAGTGACGGAGTGCCATGTGGCTTAGTTTGTTTCTGTCACTTTTCCAAATCAACAGTGATGACTGTAGAGTTTTAGAGTAAATCCATTTAGTCTTTGCAGAAGTTTTGTTTGTCTCCTTGGGCAGTCCTGCAGTGTCTTCAGGCGGAGTCATACCTGATGAGAATTCCCAGTCCTGCTTGTGAAACGCTGCTGGGGCCGTGGCTGCAGTGACCCTCAGTGCTCCCAGAGGCCCAGGCCCTGGGCTGGCACTGGAGGCCCTGTGCAGGGAGGCGGCTGCAGGCCTGTAAGGGGCCTGTTTTCCCAGAGGGTCTGAATGCCTTGCCTGTGTCTTGGGTGTGGGCTGGTGGCACTGTTCATGCCTGCTCAGCTGGGTCCTAGGACCCTGGCCTGCTGCAGGGGCCCATGTTGCAGCCGATGGGGTGCTGCCTTCCCTGACAGGGCGGGGGGTCCTGGGTTGCCTTCCCTGACGGGGCGGGGGGCCCAGGGTTGCTGGCTCTTCTCTTGATTCAGTGGTGTGAGCTTGGGAAAGCTGAAGAAGAAATGAACGTCTTTTCTCTTTCTTTCTCTCTCTGTTAAACGCCAGCATCCAGCATGTGTACGGAGCCCAGCACCCACCTTTTGATCCACTGCTACATGGCACGTAAGTGACCTTTGCCCTCCCCGAGGGGGAGGCGGTGGTCCCTCCTCAATCCACAGTCTGGGCTGCTGTGTGTGTGACTGCTGTCCTTGTGGCCTTGCTGCAGCGGGCAGTGGATGGGCAGACCCCAGCCTTGCGTGGGGTGAGGGGGGGTGGGTCCCTGCGGGAATGGTTGACTGCTGCCCCTAGCTGGCTGGTGGCCTGGACCCCAGCTGTTCTTAGGGGCCCCCGTGACTCCCTGCCTGGCTGCTGTCCTCTCTGCGCCAAGCCCTGGCTCTTCCATCACTGGGCCAGAGCAGAGGGTGTAGGACTCAACTCTGGTCTGACATGTTTCCTGACTCTTGGTGGGGCTGATGTGTGGCCATGGCAGGGGCAGTCTCCTCTAAGTGGAAATGCTTCACACCTGCACATCAGCGGCCATGTGCTCCGCACAGTCCCGCCTGCCCTGCGCCCCGCAGCTGTCCCGTAGGGGTTTGGCTGACATGCTGGGAGGGAGGATGTGTTTTCGGTCCCTGGCACCACGGCCCCGGCCCTGCAGGCTGTGTCAGGTGGCAGAAGCTGCTAGCCTGACCTTTCCTGAGATGTTGTCACTCAGTCTTCTTGAGCTTTTTCTGCTCTTATTTTGAACCCCTGTGAGTTGTGTTTGCTTTCCTGTCACCCTCATCTAGCGTGAAGCATCTTCTTTTTTTTTTTTTGTTGGTCATGGGGCTTGAACTCTGGGCCTAGGCGCTGTCCCTCAGCTCTTCAGCTCAAGGCGAGTGCTCTACCACTTGAGCCACAGCGCCACTTTGGCTTTTTTCTGCTTATGTGGTGCTGAGTTGTTGAACCCAGGGCCTCATGCATGCAAGGCAAGCACTCTACCACTGAGCCACCTTCCCAGCCCCACAGCATGAACATCGTTAAGCCTCTGGGCTGCGCAGTAAAGATGCTTTTGCTTTGCAGCTTGCTCAAGTCCACACCCAAGGTGCCTACCACCCCGGTGAAGGCCAAAAGGGTCAGCACGTTCCAGGAGTTTGAGAGCAACACGAGCGATGCGTGGGACGCGGGGGAGGACGACGACGAGCTCCTGGCCATGGCGGCCGAGAGCCTGAACACGGAGGTGGTCATGGAGACGGCCCACCGCGTCCTGCGCAACCACAGGCAGCGGCAGGGCCAGCCCGCTCCTCCCCAGCCGCCAGTGCACGAGCAGGAGCCAAAGCTCGTGGCAGAGCCGCCTGTGGCTGAGCTTCCAGCAGCCCCAAGCGGCGACCTGCGGCTGGTGAAGTCGGTCAGCGAGAGCCACACGGCCTGTCCTGCAGGTAGGCGGGGCCGCCGAGGAGGCTGTGGGAGTTGAAGACCTCAAGGGCCATCTTCTACCCGGCATGCCTCTCCCAAGCAGGAGGGCAGCCTGCCCTTTCCCTTGTGTCCCAAAGTGCTTCCTTTGCTCCTCTGAGGAGCAGAGTGCCTCTCCTTCCAAATGGCTGCTGGGGGGGGGGGAGGGTTGTGGGAGGGGCGCAGGGAGCACAGGGGCTTGGGAAACCCTGCCCTCTGCGAAGGCACCACCGGCCCACCCCTCCCCAGGGTCGTCCTGGGGTCAGCATGTGCTCCCCACAGCTACAGGGGAGAGAGCTGGGATCTGCCTGCTAGCAGATGCATGTCTAGGCTTTATGCTAGGCTATATTTCAAGACTAAAATACCCTCTAGAAATTGGTGACTTCTAAAGAGCGTTCCAGGTCTTCAGGTGAGAGTGCTACGAACCATTTTACTTGATCATTTGGACCTGGAAGTAGTAAATCCGCTTTGGAGTTTTCAGTTGGCTTCAAGTTGTGGTGTCTACTTCCTGCCTCCTGATCAGTTTGGGCAGACGCTCTCCAGCTCTCCAGCTAGCTCCTTTGCTCACGCTGAACCATGATGTGCCATGGCGTCCGTTTGTTCAGATCTTTGGGGCCTGAGTGGAGCTCCTGTGACACCCCCATTTCTGGGGATGGTCCAGACCCTAGATGCAGGAACTGAGGGCCAGGCTAAGGTGTCTATTTGGGGGTCCTGACAAGAGGCCAGGCCAGGCTGTGTGCAGCCAGGCGGGAGAGCCATGGGATGTCACGTGGGATGCCCCTACTGTAAGCCAAAGTGTGACTTGAGAAGTGGCCAGGATGTCGGTGGCGGCGGTCCTTTACCTACCTAGGGTCAGCCTCTTTCCTCTGCTTCCTTTTGGGGCAAGCCTTTTTGAGAACTCCATTATAATAGTGATGATGATAATAATGTTGATACTGGCATCTCTTGTTCATTTACTGTCTGGCAAGTTCTGCAACCAGCCCCTTCAGTGATAAACCCATTAAACTTTATAGCGACTCCTTAAACTCAGCAAACTTCCAGGAGGGCAGAGGCATTGTTACTGCTCTTTCTCAGGCGAGGCATCCCTGGCTCTGAGCTGCTCACCCAGGGGTGGGGCTGGGGTTCAAACCCAGTCTGTGCTCTGTGCCTGTTCTCAGGGACTTTAGGTTGAGGCTTCAACAGATGAGCACACGAGTGGACAGCGTCCAGAGGCATCTGGGGGCTGTGGTCCCCGTTCTGTCCTGTTGAGGTAGGTCAGGGTGAAGGGTGAGGCTGTGAAGGCTACACAGAGAAAGAGAAGTCTGTTTCCTTTGAGCATCCCAGTGAGTTCTGTCCCCTGAGCACAGTTCTGTCTCTCCTGCCTACTGGACATGTCATTCCCTGCTTCTGTGTTCCTTTTTTTTTTCATTAATTATTACAAAGTTGATACACAGAGGGGTTACAATTATGTTTTTTTTTTGTTTGTTTGTTTGCTGGTCATGAACTCTGGGCCTGGGCGCTGTCCCTCAGCTCTTCAGCTAAAGGCTAGCACTCTACCACTTGAGCTATGGCTCCACCACCAGCTTTTTCTGCTTATGTGGTGCTGAGGAATCGAACCCAGGTCCTCATGCATGCAAGGCAAGCGCTCTACCACTGAGCCACCTTCCCAGCCCGGGGTTACAATTACATAAGTCAGGTGTTCTGTGTTCCTCTGAGCATCTGTTGCCTCTCCCTTCGTGCGTGTCACTTGGGGAATTTTGGGCTACCCCTGGGCCTTAACCTTGGCCACCATCCTGGGCAGATGGTTGAGCTGAGAGTTCAGTATAGTACGTGGCCATGGCTACCCTGCCCTGGGTCTCTACCTTTGGGCTTTCATGACTCCTCACCCCCCTTTCTCTTCTCTTCTCTTCTCTTCTCTTTTCTTCTCTTCTCTTCTCTTCTCTTCTCTTCTCTTCATGTGTGTGTGTGTGTGTGTGTGTGTGTGTGTGTGTGTATGTGTGTGTTGAACTCAAGGTCTGGTCTCTGTTCCTGAGCTTTTTTGTTCAAGGCTAATGCTCCACTTCTGGTTTTCTGGTGGTTAATTAGAGTTAAGAATCTCATGGACTTTCCTGTCTTGGCTGGCTTTGAACTGCGAGTCTCAGATTTTAGCCTCCTGATTAGTGAGGATTAGAGGTGTGAGACACCAGCATTAGACTCCTAACTTTCATGTATATATATATATATATTTTTTTTTCCCTTTTTTTCTTTTTGTTGGTTGTGGGGCTTGAACTCTGGGTCTGGGCATTGTCCCTGAGTTCTTCAGCTCAAGGCTAGTGCTCTACCACTTGAGCCACAGCGCCACTTCCAGTTTTCTGGCGGTTAATTGGAAATAGGAGTCTTATGGACTTTCCTGCCTGGGCTGGCTTTGAACAGCAATCCTCAGATCTCAGCCTCCTGAGTAGCTAGGATTATAGGTGTGAGCTACCGGCACCTGGCTTGCTAGATATCTTGATTGTCTTTGAGTGAATATAAGAGTATGTTCACACTGGCGGGGGGGTGGAGGGGTGTCAGGTGCACTTTGTTTACTTAGTGATGCTCGGTCAGTGGGAAGCAAGTCCTTCGCTGAGCTGGGATCTGGAGGCCCCTGCGGTGTGGGCAGTGGGCTTGATGCAGCTGGACCTGCATTGATGGTCACTGAGCTGTGGTGAGGTGGGTGTGGATGGTGGCTGATGGTGACCCATCATTCTCTGTGGGACAGCGATGTGCCTTCATTCAGGCCACAGGAGACCTGGTCAGTGCTCTGTTTCTACAGGGGATGTTGCTGCTGCTTTGCGGTCCTCTTTTAGAGTTGGGGGCCACAGTTCTGGGTGGAAAGGGTGGGTCTTTGGGGGGGTCATCCTTAATGGAGTCACCCTGTCTCTCGACGAGCCTCCTGCCTGTTGGCCTTGGTACTGGTGTGTGAGTGCCCGAGGCCTTCCCTGTCCCCTGCCTGTCTTCATGGGAGGATGGGGCATGCGATGTTGCTCCCTGCCTGGGTTTCCATCAGTCGGGGGCTCCTGTATGCAGAACGGGGGCACACCGGGCAGGGTGGGCGGGTGTGTGCTCTGGCACGACCTCAGTCTCTTCCTGGGGGTGGGTTGGGGGGGTCATCAGGTGCCTACCTTCCTCCCATTCCCTGTGCTGAGCTCCTGGAAGGTTCAGGCGGCAGAAGAGGCAGACAAGCTCAGCAGCCGGGGAAGAGGGACCCTTGCCGTGTCCTGGTCGCTTGCTCCTGTCCCCAGTTCCTTTGCAGGGCCACCCTTTTCCATATTGACGCAGCAGCCTGTCTCCTCTGCTGGGCCTGGTGGCCACACACACCTCTCTCAGCAGTCGGCCTGTTCTCACCCTGGCTGGCCGGATCTGCACCCTGGGCCCCATGGAAATCTCACCGCTAATGCTCCTGAGGGAGTTGGTCTGGCCTCTTCCGGCTATCACGATTTGCTTTAATGCAGCGAGGCAGACTGGTTTACTGCTGTGTGATGGGCGGAAGCAGGCCAGAGTGCTCACTGGGGGCTGACCAGGGAGGGAGCAGGGCCTGGGGTACTCACAGGGTGCTGTCCAGGGAGGGAGTGGGGAGGGAGCGGGCCTGGAGGGCTCAGAGGGAGTGCGCGTGGTGAGGAGTGATCTGAGCATGTGCTTGCCTTCACCCCTGTTCTGTCACCCCTGCAGCGAGCGCCAGCGACGCCATCCCTCTGCAGAGATCCCAGTCTCTCCCACACTCAGCCACCGTGGCTCTGGGAGGGACGTCTGACCCGATCACCCTCGGTGGCTCAGCACGGAGTAACAGAGAGGCCTCCCGGCTGGACAAGTTCAAGCAGTTGCTCGCTGGCCCCAACACCGACCTCGGTGAGTCCCTGCAGGCTGGAAACTGAGAGCAGTTTCTGGTGGTTTGGAAAGGAGGCCTTGTGTTCTGCCCCCCAGTGCAGGTGCCTTGGGGGAAATCGACCTCGTGGGACACGTGGCTGTACTTAGTTTCCTCTAGGTGTGCTGTGTTAACGTGGCTCCGGGGCGTTTCCTAGGGTTTTTTGGTTCATTTTCCCCCCATTGCCTCAGCACACCTTTCCGGCCGCTGTCCTGAAAGCCTGCTGCCCAGTGGCCATCCTCTGTTGATGCCACTCTGCGTTTTCTAGACGCTGGACCTTTTGGAGAATTAGGAGGGGCCTTGGTCCTGAGAGCACTCCTAGCCGGGACAAATGTGACTAGACAGTAATGGGGTGCCTGGAGAGCCCAAGGTGCAATGCCCAGCTCGGCCAGGAGGTGGCAAGTGGGGCACGTGGATGGGCCAGCGGGAACTACAGTTAGAGATGTGCTCCTGGAAGATTCTCAGTCAGAGAGGTAGCCAGGGTGCCACAGGGGTCGGAAGGCTGCGGCTGCGGCTGTTTTGGAGAGTCCTCACAGTTCCTAAGGTACAGCTCCACTCTGAGTCTGGGCTGTGAAGGGTTTTCCTTGTTAATTTTCATCCTTTTTCGATTCATTAATGTACAGTATGTTACGTACCGTAACACGGATGTCACACAGGGGTGTGTAATGGAAACGAACCCCTTACCCTGCCTTCTCACTATTCCAAGTGTTTCCTTCTGGAGGGGGCCTGTGCTGCTTTCGTCTTGAACAATATGTTGGATGGAATTTTATACATAGAGAATAGTTGCATAGTCTAAGTGACTCTCAGATATCCTTTGCAGTGTGTGCCAGTTGCTTACATTTTGCTCTGTCACGTTCTGCATGTGCATTTGTGTGTGTGTGTGTGTGTGTGTGTGTGTGGTGTGTGTGTGTGTGACTGTGTGTGTCAGTGTGTGAGAGCATGAGAGTGGGTGGAAATATTTTGTCCTTTACTCCAAAGATCTTCTTGTGTATTTCCAAAGAGTAAAACATTCTCCCAGTATAGTCATAGCACAGTTGTCAAAACAAAGAAATGGGGCATTGATATGAAACTCTTTGAACAGTACTCTTGTTATAATCCATATCTACATTTTTACAGTTATCCCAAGAATATGCTTTTTATCTTTTTTCCTAGTCCACAGTTCAGAATGGGGCTGTACATTTCATTTGGTCATCCTGTGTCTGTGGTGTCTGCTGACTTGGGACAGTGGCTTAGCCGCCTCTCGTGGTTTTGATCTCATAGGCAGTTCTTTACAGAATGTCTGTCAGTGTGCATTCGTCAGTGCTCCTTCCTGAGAAGGTATCGCCAGGGGTGGAGGCCTGTGGCGTTGGCTTGTTGTAGCCACGTTCATCACTTGGTGCTGATGCTGCCACATCTTTGCAATGAACCATGTATTTCCCTCGGTAACTTAGCAGCGGCGTGGAGAGAGGCTTTGGAGTCTGAATTAGATGTTTTCCTTCTCCATGTGGATGGCAACACTGTTCTGCACCTCACTTTTAACTGTACGTTTTCACACAGTCGTTTATAGAGCACCGCTGAGCTCTGTGGACACCTACGGGTGCTACACACGCCCTCTACTGGTGGGCAGGTGTATCACTGATTCTCTGTTAATCCGGACAACTGAGAACTTTTCTTTGGTGTCTGAACTCTGGTGATGGCATTTGCAGAGCATCCTTCCACGGGAATGGGGAAGAGCGGGAGCTGCCTGTAGTTTTGGTTTCAGGACGGGGTGGCTGCACGTCCCATCTACACAGACAGGATACCAAGGTGAACTGTGCGAGGGGGATGCGGTTTGAGGGGGCTGAGGCCCTTTCTCTCCTGGCATGCCAGGGGCTCCTCTGCCCTCTGGATATTGGAGGAGGACTCGACTGGTGTCTGGGAGAGCGGGTTCAGGTGTTGGGCTGCCTGGTGCAGAACTTGAGCGAGTTTGCTGTCATGAGAACCTGTGCCTTGTTCATCCGAAAGACTTGATGACAGCAGGACTGAGTTTGCAGATAAATAAGCTTGTGGCAGTGCTAGGCATATTGCAAACTCTTACTATGTCTCCACCATGTACTTTCATCATCATTATTCTTTTTACTTCCATTTGTCTTATCCTCTTCCTTTGGTTTTTGTGTATGTTTGTTTTCTGAAATGTTCTCACTCTGAAATGTTTGTTTTCTGAAAGGCTGGCCTCGAAGTCATGATCAGCCAAGCTCAGCCTCCCGTGTTCTGGGATTCCAAGTGTGTGCCCCTATTCCCCAATAACTTTGTTTTTATAATGCTGCTTATTATAGCGTGGTTCCTTTAGTGATCAATGCTAAGTGAATCGGTGTTTTCCTGGTTGTGTTTAGTTGTTCCCAGTTGCAGGCCGGCAGCAGGAAATGTCAGACGGTAACAGGCTCATTTGATGGGTGTCCCGTTCTGGTCAGGCTTGGAGTAGCAGCTGGAATCTTCTTGTGGTCTTTGTCAGTGGAGCACTGTTTGAAAAATAAGATCATACTTCCATATAAGGCTTTGAATGCGTGTTAAAAGAATGTGAGCCTGTGTGGGTAGGTTGGAAGGCTAACATGTCAAAATCAAATTATTTTGGTAGGTTGGTTGCAGTTATGGATTTTTTTCCCTTTTTCAGAATTCTATTTAAATATCAAATTTGAAACCAGAAAGTTAAGGCCAGAGGTTTCAAAGAAAAACAATTACTGGGTTTATATTTAGTGGCAAAAGAAAACATAGCCAGTAAATTGCTCGTTTTCCTAAAGCCTAAAGGTAGCTCTGAGGACAGTGGAATACATTATCTTCACATTTTGTAAAGCCCTAAGTGGCAAATATTTGCCAATGTTGGAGAAGCAAATTGCTGGTGTGCAGAATGCCCCCAGAAACACGCCTACCTGCTAAATACCAACGTCCGGCCGAGGGCTGCTTTCTTTGTTTAGCTTATGCTCTGTTAGGAGCCTAGGGATGAAAGTAGCAAATAGAACTTAACAGCTCATTCCTCTCTTCCCGTTGACTCAATATTTACTCATACAAAGATGGCCTGCTTTGAGGAAATGGCACTTGGAGGCGGTGTTTCTCACGTGTGCCTGGTGAATGGAGTGCCGTTTGGCGCTATGCGAGCCACACGCTCTGCTGAGGCTGCCCTGCGGCGGTGGGGCCCGGGAGGATGCGCTGTGCAGCTCGGCGCTGGCACTTGCTAGCCTCAGAAGCAGCAGGACAGAAGGCGTCTCCCTTCGCTGTGAACACAGGCACACAGCGGAGCTCCTGTTCCCCAGGTGAGCATCCTGTCTGGGCTCCAGGGTCAGAGCTTTGGATGGAGGGAGGAAGGTGACAAAGGTGGGAGCTGTGCTTGGGGAGAGCTGAGGTGAGCAGACGCCATGTCTGCTGGAGCCCTGCCCTGCTGCCGGGCCTGCGATAGCGGGAGACAGCGACCACTCGCACTCAGCGCCCATTGTGGTATGGGCCGTGCCCCGGCTCCTGGTGTGTGACTGACTGTCCGGGTGGCAGCCTCCGGCCTGTCCACTGCGAAGGGGCCCTCAGGCCTGCCTTGCAGGGCCCTGGAGGCAGGAAGGAGGTAATTCATGTGAAGTTCCTATAGTCTCTGTTTATTGAACACCTGCTGCTTGCAGGCATTGGGAAGGAACAGGGAGCCAGACCTGCATGGGCTCTGTTCCCAAGGAAGTGGCATTCTAGCATGGAGACAGACAGACAGACAGACAGATGCACCTCTAGTACTTCTGAAGCCATCAGCTGGCAGTTGGTGCCATGTGCTGGTGGCTGTAATCCTGGCTACTCAGGAAGCTGAGATCTGAGGATCACAGTTTGGAGCCAGCCAGGGCAGACACATCCATGAGGCACTTATCTCCAGTTAACCAGTGAAAAGCCAGAAGTGGGGGTGTGGCTCCAATGGCCTTGAGTGAACAAGGAGTGAGAACTTAAAGCCCTGAGTTCAAGTACTGGCACCAAAACACAAAACAAAAACAAAAAGGCAGTTGGTGCATGGGGAGAGGGGCATGTCTGGCTGCTGCTTCTGAGTGGATGCTGGCAAACCCCCACTGGAGGAGGGTGCTTTCCCTGGGCCTGTACAAAGGGCGGCACTTGGGGATGAGGAGGGCACTCCGAGGAGAGGGGCCAGGGCGGGGAGGGCTGCAGGCCTAGAGCCTGCTGTAGTGGAGGAAGGGAAAGCGGCTGCAGAAGATCCTGGCCCCCTGAAGACAGGGGCGGGAGGAGAGTCCGCGTGGCAAGAAGGCCTTGTATCCGGGTGCCGCCAGTGGGCTGGGCAGGTCCCTTCCCCCTCGGGCAGCTGCACGGGAAAGGGAGGGAAGTCAGGGTGGTAGCTGAGTCTGGGGGTAGGTGGCTGGGGCAGTGCCTTCCAGGCACTGTTCAGTGGGGCTGATAGAGTTGGGGGCTGAATGATCGGATGTTTTCCCTGTGGAATGAGAGAAGCTTCGTCGTAGTTTGTAACCTGGGGACCACAAGGTTAGGGGAGCAGCTGGGGAGCATAGCAATCAGAGCGTGGCCGTGCTGCTGAGGAGTCAAGATTCATGGCCCTCGGAACCAGAGCAGGAGAGCGGTGTATTTAGATCCTACGCGAGCTCACGGCTGCTGCCACTGCTGCTGCCACTGTGTACCCCGTGCTAGTCATCCTCCCCCACCCGCCCCCCGGTGCCCCTCCCCCCCCCCCCCCCCCCCGGCCCCCCCCCCCCCCCCCCCCCTGGTCCCCTGCTGAGGAAGTCAGCAAGGTTAGGTAAGCCGTGGGTTTGGCAGCCTTGTGGCGATCACACTGGGCATTACTAGTGCTTTCCAGAGGCCCCAAATGTTCCCCTCCTGGTGTGTGTGTGGGGTGTTTGATGAGACTCTGCCTTCTGGGCCAGGTGGAGAGGGCTTGCTGAAGGGATGCCTCCCTTGAGCTGTGGCCTCCTTCCCTGCAGCCAGCCAGCCAGCGCCCCGTGCTTCCCTCTAGCGGCCAGACATGGACATTGCAGCCCGTGCC